TTTACCAAAACAAAATAAGTTAAACTTCAAAATTGTAAAGAAAACAGAGAATTCAATATTATTCTTTTAATTTCATTACCAAGTTTATATTTGATGTTAGTTATTCATAAGTGTTATTTAGCTAAATTATTCCTTTCATGTCTCACTGCTGTATAAAGTTCATAAATCATATAAGAAATTAATTGCAAAGCAAAATAAAACAAACACTACTTTTACAAACAAACGAACATCTAAATTTTAATTATTTCGATAAATTTTTATTTAATGTATTTAATTAAAAAGTTTTAAAAATTTTCTGACTTTTTTTTAAAGACAATCTTTATATTTAAATTGGTTATATAACAATTTTGATAATAACTTGTAATTATTTATACATACATATTAGGCCAATGTAATCTATTGTTCATTTACGTCACACTTCCACAATTCAATCGGAAAGAAAAATTTTAAAATGTCATATAATAAATATTGCTGAGCTAATTTGTTTTTACATGCTTAACTTATAGACTGTAACGTCTCTTAAAAATGAAATAAAAAAAATATACAATAATATACCGTAACGATAACAGAGCTTGTTGAATACGAGGAAAAAGAAATAATTACGTCTCAATTTGTCAATATCAAAGAGATGTATATCTTTTTCGAAGTACTTTGAAAGGAAAATTGTTGATACATATATGAATTTCGTTTTAGTTATAGAAGGTGGTCCCCTTTTTCAGGTAATCAGGTATTATGTATCTTTGAAATTATTGGTCCTTCAGGTTACCTTTTCAGCCGTGAAAAGTATATAAGACTTGGACATGTCAATTCCTTAGGGACACGTTGATATAATGTTATTTATCCTTAAGAAAGAAGTTTTATATTTTATTACAATTTTTGTTGTCATCTATTATTATTACTTATCCGTTTCACGTCACCTTACATTTTAATTAAGTGATGACACAGAAGTCTTTCAATATGAGGAAACTAACACGAGATTGTTATGACGCAAGAAAACTCGACAAAAATAATATCTTAAAGAAGAAATCATTTTCAACAAGACAGTAGAGTATATCTATTGAAGTAAACTGAGTCTGTGAACGGAACAAAGACGAGTGCAACGAACGATAAGACATTTACTGTTCCGATGAAACAATATCGTGATTTCACTAAGCCGTATTAATTTCAGGTTCACGGTGATATTGTTTAAGCTAAATTAAATTTATTACTGTAATTATTGTAAGTTGATATCATATTATTAATTTAATATTAAGCCCGTAATAGTGGTTTTATATTAATTAAACTTTATTATTTACCGCTATAATTTAATGTTCACGTTTAATTAATTAAAATTACTCTTGAAAGAGTATTTTACGTATTGGGTTACGATACTGTAACAATCTCTTTTATAAAATTTTCAGAACAATTATTGAACCTTAATTTTGAGACATAAAATTGTAACAAAATCAATAAGGAAGTTTAAGTACGATTACCTATACTTATTAGTTTCATTCACTAAATACTACATATATGTTTATAGATTAGTAAATTAAGTCTTATCAAGTCGTTCGGATTAGTATAGCAAAATTTTAATAGTACCTACTCTCTAACTCTCCCTTTTTTACTTTCATGTGGGGCTTATTTTAAAATTTGTATAAGTGTTTTTGTTGAGACTGCAGACCCCCAATCGCGTCAATGGGTTGATTAAATGTCAGTTTTGGTCAGGTAAGACTTATCTATAATTTCTTAACTACATATATTACTTCTTATTCTTGAATATTTTCTTCATCTATATTGTGGGATAATTACAGTTACTTGATTTTATTTTGCTTCACAGAATCCAGCTCTTAGTTTTCTCTCTCTCCGGCTTTTATGTAATAATTTTAATAGTTTTGTTTCAGATATTTTCTTCGTTTTCTCGCTTTGTTATTCAAATTACTTATAACACAAACCTATTCATTATAATCGTACCAGATTCATTTCAATTATATTTTATAAAATATATATATGAAAACCAATTTTAGTTCAAAGGTCAAAGAATTTATTTAATATGTTACTCGAATATTAACTTACGAATACAATGCATTTGTATATTAACATAATAGAAAATAAAAGAAAAAAATACAAACACTTTACTTTGACGTCTCTTCGTGTTTTTATCTTTAGTTTTAATTATATATTTTGTGAAATTTTTTATGATTAATTTTATGTTTGGTTGATATGAAACGAATTTATCTATATTTTAAGTTGAATACAGATTCGTTGAAATTTCACAGTAAAGAAAGCCATTATAATAATTCTAAAGCAAAGTTTATTAACGCGATTCATCAATTAGCAGAAACGTATTTAGTTATTGTGTTCAGTGGACAATACTCAGATTTGGATAATTGTGAAGATAAGAAGTTAGGATGACATCAGTTTATTAAATAATAATAATATTTGTACATAGCTTCTACTTTCATTACTAACATACCCAAAACTAGTTTTATATATTTTTTCGCCTTTTTTTACCCATGCTCAAAACCTAATTTTTTTACATTACTCGGCACTTAATCGACATTTTTATTATTATAATTCTTATGACATTGACAAAAAACTCTTACTTTTGATAATTTATAGATAAATAGTTTTTCAAGTACTGGATAAAAACGTAAGACGAATCGATTAATAGCAATAATAATATGTAATGATTTTATACCCAAGAAGTTTTAAAGGCAGATATTTAATTTGGTTCTGTGACCTGACGTTTCAATGGCTGAAGGTATGGTTCAAGGTTTCAACAGACGAAGTATAGTCCCGAGTTTATGGTTGAGCAACAGTTACGGTAAATACACATGAGTACGCCGTACACGTGTATCGGGTACGTTACACTCTACTCGTACCTCATAGTACCTGTTACACTAAAATTTTAGTAACATCGATGAATTGCCAAGGGACAAAAGATAACTAGAATTGTTAAATTATTATAGTCAAACCACAACCGAAGTCAGTGCTCAAGATGACTTTATATTTTATTTCACACAATAACTTAAGAGAATGTTAACGCGTAACGATCTCAGTGATACACTCAATGTGGCCTCCATAAATGGTATCTAATTGAAAAGATATAATAATAAGGGTGACACAATATGAATGAAGTTCTTAAAATAATTTTGTAATATATTAAATGACAGTTTTGAATGTACTCAAAAAAAATATAGAAAAACGAAATATTTCTGTACAACACGCCACAAAATAATGTAAAAGAAACAGGGGAATATTATATGTAATTGTACTAATTTCTAGATGTTACTTTGTTGCTGCTATACTCATGTATACCTAATGAGACCTTGACGTAGCTTTATAATTAAAAATAATAGTTATCACCACATTCAACGTAGGCAAAAGAATGCGTTATAATGATATTTTAGTTTTTAAAATAAAGTTATAAAAAAATTATTTGGAGCAAAATTTCGTGTTCTTCATAATTTATTGTTTCATTTGCTGGAATTTGTATTTGAATTATTTTATTACAACGATCCTTCTTACATTATATCTTAATAAATAATAATTTGTAAAATATTTTTAACAATAAAGGAGTAGTAGAAAGAATTTCCCACTGAAATTTTATTAACAAATGCTTTACCTAACAATAGAGAAAGCTTTCAAAGCTGAAGTTAGTTTTTATTCTGTTTTTGAAAGAAATAATATGTTTGCATTGAAAAAACATATGAGTAAAAGTATTGTTTGATTATTTTTATTTAAAATTTTATTTTACAAAATAAAATTTTAATGTTTCAAATAAACACAAAATATATCCATACAATTGAATTTATTTTGATGGAAGGCGTAGTAATCATTTGAGAATAGACAAATAAACAAACGAAAATGAATCTTTTCATGTGTAAACAAGCGTGGAATTAGACAGGCTTTCCAATTGTAAACGATGAAGCACTTTATTATAAGAAGATGAGATTTGTATGAGCATTTCATTAAATTTCGTAAGAGCTTTTGACGTTAATATTACACGTTCTTTTTTTATTTCAAGACAATTGACTGAGTTATTAATTTGTAAAAAAATATCGAAATGACATAATTTCTTTTTTATATTTTTGGTGGGGTATGTAAATAAAAATATAAATTTATTTCAAAACCATTTACTTCAACATCAAATGCTTCGCTACAATTTTTACACATATTTACAACTTAAAGTAGAAAAAATATTTAGTTTTATACTTCTTTTAAAATAAATTAAAGAGTTTACATATATTTTATTTTTTACATAAAATTTTAAATTATAATCTCATAAACATATCTTAAAACTACATATTAAAAGTCTGAAACGGTATTGTAAGCGTATTTTTTACACCTTGTTCTTAGTATGCGTTTTATAGTCAGGAAAACTTTTAAAGTTTTCGAATTCATGATTTCATAAATAATGTTAATAATAAAAAACTTATGTAAGGGAAATTTGAACATTGAATAAAAGAATTTGGAAACCATATCAGTTCCCTTAAGCCAACTAAACTAAGGCACTGTGGAATTAATTTAAGTGTGTAAAATATATCAGAGTTTTTCCTCAGTAACTCAAAGAAACATATTGTGTCTCGTAAGTTTGTATGAACATCAATTAAATAATTAATTGAACACTTTAGTTAAAATTATATCTGAAAGCTCTTATAATAAAAAATCTAAATATACGTGTAAATATATTTACAATCTATAGATATTTTTATTGATATTGCTTGTTGGTTTTGTTCTCTAAGTTTTGGTAAAAACAATGTCAGTTAAATTTTCATTACAATATAAAAGCCCCAAAAAGTGATATAAATTAGAACTAAAGACAAACATTATCAATTCTACAAAATAATGTGTTATTTTGAATATTTAAAGGCATTTGAAACAATCTAAAAATTCCTATTGTGTAGATATTGCAATATATTTAAAGCACAAAAAAATATTATTGAAACAAACTACTACATCTAAAAAATGTACACAACCATTTTCACCCGCATTAAATTATAAATTGTAAAGTAAATGACCTACAAACAATGCAAAATTTTTCGAAACGCTTTCCTGAATTCAGGGTTAAATATTGTGTAGATAAGTGGGTTGAGAAAAGAATTTATGTAACCGAGCCACGTTGTGAGGATAAATACGGTCACTCCGGGAGAGAAATTGAATCCAAACTTGGTGCAGATTGCATCCAGCATAGAGCACGTAAAAAACGGCACCCAACAGAAGAGAAACACACCTGAGAAAAATTTAACATTTTTATTAATGCTAAATCTTATCATTTTAGAAGCGTTTTTTCTAACGTACCCAGTACTGGTAAGTTATCCAGATACTTCAAAAATATGTAAAATTTACAAACAAATGATTTGAATTTGCAAGAAAATGGTACTATGCTTTTTGGATATATTTCAATAAACAATCTTTACAACAATGGTATTCACGAGCCGGCGAGATGAAAATGTCTATCAAATGCTGCAAATCATGACTCTTGAAGTCGCTTGGTTTTTTTATCAGACTTAAATTAATACTATGATTGTGGCCATTACTATTATTGAAATTAATCATGTCATTATTTTTTTAATTTATATATTTCTTAGACAAATTTTATAGACCTTAACACTACTTAGCTCATACTAAGTATATAGAGAGCAGTTCATGAGAAAGTTGAATAAAGTATTTGATATAGATAATAAACACCAAAACTATCTGACAGACACTTCCATCTCGTCTGCCCTTAATAACGGTTCATATAAAGTACCTGAAACGTCGAGTAGAATGTAATACATATAATAAAACGCGTAATCTATAATAATAAACTCAAAGTCACATTCAAATGTGTACTTCCGATAGTTTTAGATATAAGTAAACTTTTAAACACTATCGATTATCTAACAAAGTTTAAGTTTTTTTACCTAACCATGCTTTTAAGATCATGACGGAATCATATTTTTTTAATTTATTAAAATTACACTTATAATTTCCAAACGCAGAGCATATAAACTTTTTTTATGTATTACATTATCACAATAAAAAATAAAGGAAGAAATGTTACCTAGAACTATGGCTAGTGTCTGAGTTGCCTTTTTTTCTTTCTTAGCGAAAGACTTGGCCCTTAGTTTTCCAGCTCGATTCGCTCTAAATATTGTAAATCTTGCGGCTGAGGCGGCGCTTCGAAAACGACGACGAGGCGTTGAGATCAGGGAACTGTTGCTGAGACGACTCAACTTCTTCCTATAATAAAGCTCTTTTCAGATATTATATAGCTTCCTTAAATTAACGACCGTAACTACCGTTTCACATTTTATATGAAAAAAAATTGTACATGCAGATAAGGCACTGACGTTGTGTTTAATTATTAATATGATTGATATTAATATTATAACTATTTTAGTGTAAAAAATTGTTGTACCAATAAATAGAGAGAGACAGAACTCACAAAATTATATTTTGAATTCTGATTTTTAGACTGCAATTATTTATTTTATTCAGATTATCTATATAGTTTAGTTTTATTTAATTTAAAAAAGTCACAGCAAATGCATGTCAACAATGCAGCAACTACTTTCATATTTTACAATACAAAACTTTAAATTAATAAAAGGTCCTGTGACCTTTAAAGCATTCAAAGGTCACATCACTCATTCTTACGAGTAGCTCCATAGCTTTATAATGTCAGACTTGTCATATTACAAAATAACAAATGTTAAATTAAAAGTTTTCACGACATCTGTATGATATATGCGAAAAAAATTATAAGAAATGTATTGTACCTACTTTAATAAGGTCAAATGAGAATGAAATAAGAAACCAAGATTTACTTGAGTTCTGGTTTTCTCGGTATACTATTTTCTTTCTTTTTTTCCACTTTCGGCGAGGGCGGCGGGGAGTGATCTTTATCCGCCTCCATATTAGATGGCACGTAGCCGGAGTCATTGTTAGTATTTGGGTCCATCATTGGAATTGGTGAAGCGAGATTGGCCATTATTCTGAATTAAGGACACAAAAATTGATTATTTCATTGTATAGAGCAAGGATTCCACGGCTTCTGATGATAGCGGATCTTTCATTTGGATTATTGATAAGCCTGCTCAATAAATTGTTCATTAAATAGCTTTACAAGATAAGTATTTATACTGACAACCCAGTTTCTTCGACAACTGCCGCAAGCATAAATCTGGCTGATCTGGTGGTAGCCAAATCTTCAAACGCACCCATTTCTGATCTATTAAAACCAAAAGTTATTTCGTTATCCTTTAATTTAGTATTGAAATAATTTGATAGGTACCAATATATGTATGACTCTTAATTCGTTGTACTAAAATCAGAAAAACAATATCCTTAAGTTGAATTTAATTCATCTTTACAAAAATCCCTTACTTGTCATCGTCGTCATCATTGCTTCCAGATGCTGTATTAGTCGGTCTGTCCTCGGGAACTATAAACCGATGTGCGTGTACAACATTCTCAATGACAACTGCAGCTGTACCACTGGATACGGCGGAGCTGACTGCTGATGAAGTCTTCTTGGCAACACGCTGCTTTTTCGCACGTTGTCTAATCGCCTAACAGTGAAACGAAAACCATTAAAATATATTTGAAATAAAAAATATATAGAAAAAGAAGAAAAAAAAAACATTTAAAAATTACCTTTTCAGTAAAACAATTTTTGCAATGCAAGTAAAGACCGACGCGAGACGTTAAATGCACGTTTTATAAACATGGAGTAAAATGTTGAAATGTATATTATATTTAAAACGAAACTATGTTTTGTCGGATATAAGTTCTCGACGTTTTGATTATTTTACAGCAAACGTCATTACTTGCAGACGAGATGAAAGTGCTTTAAAGAAAATTGAAAATGTAAAAATAAAATCGCGAAGTTATATCCAAAAATATAGTTTCAGTTTAAATGTGTAATCGTAAAAATTCATTATGTGAACGGACTGTAGAACTTAATAATAATATATTCCAATAAACCCACCGTGAATATCCTGAAGTAGAGAAACATCATGATGATACAAGGGATATAAAATGATCCCAATGACGAATATATGACATAGTCCGTGTTATTAAATAGACATTGATCAGGGCTTCTGTCGGGAGTGTTGTTGAGACCCAACACTATTGGGGAGCCTATAGCCCCGGAGACAGTCCACGCCACTGCTATCATAACCCAGACACGAGCGTTGCTTTTGTGCTTTGCGTATTTGATTGGCTGAGTTACTGCGATGTATCTGAGAGAATATTATAAATATACGTACATGAAGTGTGTAAAATATATGAATAAATCTATTTGACCAATTAAATAATTTTGTGATATTATAATTTGAACAAATTAAATAATAAATAAAAAGTGAAATATTTTTTTCTTTGCTTTCAGGCTCGATAATCTATTTGGGACAGACATATTAAAATATGTACCGTTAATAAAATCACAAAAATTAGTAATATCGGCAACATATTTTTTTCTGCGCCCCCGCCATAAATTACATTTTTGGCAAGAATATAAGATTCTGGGGCAACCTACATTGAATAATAAATTATTAATAGGGGCCTTGATATTTTGTCCTTACTACTTAATGGGTACTAGAATATCTTTTAATAATTTATAAGATAGATCACTTTTGAAAATTAATACAGATATTATAAATGAAAAGCTTTCTAGACATCAACGTACCTATCAACAGATATGGCGACAAGGTTGAAGATGCTGGAAGTGGAACAAGTGACATCCATGGCTATGTAGCAGTCACACACCACAGCTGGCAAACCCCACACACCATTAAACTAAAAAGAGAAATCATAAAATCGTTCTATATAGTCAATTCTCAAAGATTTCTAAACATGAAAAGTATTTTTAGTAAGGTAGAACAATTAATGCTATACTTTTCTCACCTCGCTCGCCTAAACTTTGATTTAATTACAAAATATCTATTATTCATTCTCTAATTTCTTTTAATCGATTTCAAATCTGTGAACACTGAACTATACAGTCATTTGTTTTTATTTTCCATTCACACATTTTAATTACTTACTTGGTCGTATAGCATCACTTTATGGTCATTAAATTAATAAATTGCTTTCTGCACCGGTTATACTGCAATAGACAATCAACAAGGCTAAACCACAAAATTTCAAATGTATGCTACATACATAAATCCCTACGTACGTTTGCTTTGTTAATGTTTGTACAAATCCGGAATGTGATTCCATTTGCTAATTACTTCTGCTCATGATAATGCGTGAAATATTACTTTAGGAGAGTGCGTAAAATATCGCTCTGATGTAATAGTTCCTCTGTTGTTTGTTAAATGTGTTCCATTAACCCTCAGTAACTTATATGTATACATATAATAATACTATTCCAAACCTCACAACTTTAGAAACCATGGTTATTTTCCGCTTAAGAAATATAAAACAAAACAAGAATACTTTTTGATTTAATTGTATTGTCGATGAAAAAAAATACAAAACATTGTATAAATAAATATATGTAAATATTTATTTATTTATTTATTTTGTTAGATCACCAACAAGAATACACACCAGGAACATTTCAGACACATGGATATAAAAAAATAAAACAGGTGGCATCTTAATTAAAGGTGATAACAGCATGCGTAAGAAAATAACGATTCATAATTAGGCGACAACAATCAGAAAAGAAAAAAAAAAAAACTCTTTAATTAACAAACAACAATTAAAATAAAAACAACAACATAAGTAAAACTATCTAACTAAATAATTTTGAGAGTATATGGATAATATTTTGTTCTTAAATTTTCTAATGCTACCGAAAATATCCAGATCATTATCCCCGCTCAATGAATTGTAGGCACTCATAATTCTATTGAGCGGGGAGTAATGACCCAAATTAGACTTAGAAATATGCTTGGAAAAAATCGCGCGCTTGCAAGTGCGCAGTGATTTGGAAGGTGCAGATACATGAATTCTCGATAATAGGTCTGGACAATCCAGAGCGCCATTAATCAATTTATACATGAACATGTTGTCCTACAAGCGTCTTCGATCGGCAAGGGTGTTCATTCCAAAAAAGGCCATTCGATCGTTGTAATTTGGGAGCTTTTTTGCCAAGCCGAACTTGAAGCAAAGATGCCATAGGAAGCGTTTCTGGATGCTTTCTAACCTCTTGACATAAACATCGTAGTGCGGGTTCCACACTACGCTGCCATACTCAAGTCCGCTACGGACAAAAGCGTTGTACAATGTGATCAAAGTCGAAGGATTTTTCAGATCACCACAATTGCGCAAAATGAAGCCAAGACTTTTAAATCCCTTTGAGCAAATGGAATCAATATGAGTTTGAAAACGTAATTTTTTATCAATGATGATATCTAGGTCACGAATCTCAGACAATTCTCGTAAATAGACATTTAAGTCTATATGATCTTTGTGGAATGGATTTCAATTAATATTCTTTTTCGTATTGTATTTTATTGTTATTTTATACATGCTTCAGAAACGATATTAAAAAAAAGTGTTTAGATGGAGTCAAAATTTTGTTTTAAATATCAAAGTATAGTTATTATAATCTCATGAAATATTAATACATAAGTTTAGACAACAAGAACTTATAGGTCACGAAATTTACAAGAGGGTTTCAACCCTTTGAGTTTCTATTTCATACAAAGTAGTTAGGAAAGTTTCAAAGGTTAGACCTAAATTCAATTCGTATCTCAATATCACCAGTTTAGATAAATTAATGATAAGATAGCAAGAAAGGTGTACTTAAGAGAAAATACAATTTAGTTTTGTATAACATTATATTCGCATTGATCAAATTATGCAATGGATCATACATCTTTATTATAGTCGATTCGGAAATTAAATTTAATGAATTAGGAAAATTGCGTTTTCATTAAATTTTTGAATACTTATCTATTTAAAGCTAAAATAAAGTTTGAGCGCTATAAAATTTATTTCACACAGTCTAATAAATATTCCTTGTTCTTGGAAAACAATATAATGGTGAATTTAATTTTACGTTTGAAATGATTTTTGTCATAACGATACCTCATCGTATATATATAAAAATATCCATTTTTAAGGTTTAAATACCTTTAATTGGTGAAAAGATGTACTACTTGTAATGTTAGAGATGTTATTCGAAAATAGTAAGCTATTTTATTATATACGGCAAACATTGTTTGTTAAAATCCGTACCTTGTTGTCGTTCTTATGTTTCTACAGTTTCATTGTTCGCTTAAGTTTGTATAATAAAGGCATTATATAATTTAAACTAAGTAAAATTTTACAATACGAAGTATTTAACGATTACATGAATATATATTTTACCTTTTCAACAACAAAACTTAATTAACATGAAAGTATTACGTAACATAGTAATATAAATTATTATCTTAATGTTGTATGATCATAGTAACTAACATTATCAAATGCTCTAGGATCGTGAGTCATTCAATGGGTAGCGTCCGGTGACATACCCGCCTTCCCATTTAATTCTATTATCCTAAGAATTGATATGCAAATTGAAGTCAAGGTATGTTGAATTTTAAAGAAGATATTGCTAATGTTAAAACTAGAAATACCATTATTCGGTTACTATGTATCAACTTTATTTATAGTGATAAAATATAGGTAAAGTTGTATCAAAAGTTTTTTTATAGTACTTCTTTTCGTTCGATTACTTTTAATACATAATAAATGTAGTATTTACTTAGATCGAATTTCATAATTAAAAGCTATGTCCTACTTTAAAATCCCTACTAATATTATAAATGCGAAAGTAACTCTGTCTGTCTGTCTGTCTGTCTGTCTGCTACGCTTTCACGCCTAAACCACTGAACTGATTTTAATGAAATTCGGTACAGAGATAGAGTTGACCTTGAGAAAGAACATAGGATAGTTTTTATCCCAGACTTTTGAAAGGTTCTCTTGGAAACGCGATATAACCGAACTCCACGCGGCGAAGCTGCGGGCGGAAAGCTAGTTAATTAATAAATGAAAAAAAGAAGAGTCAGAATAAAACGTGAAAACGGGTGAAAATGTGACTATATATTCATCTACAGTATTAATATTTAAAATATATATAAACCACAAGAAAACACTGAAGTATTTAAATGTTCTAATATAATAGGTTTAATATCTGTTAATAAATAAGATAGTATTTTAAAATTTTAGTATACTAATATATATTCTTTTCAATATAGAAAAACTGCCTAAATAATAAGAATGATGTTATGACTTTCGAAGTTAAATCGTAGTTTAAATGTTTTATTTCAAAACTTTTTCAAAACAAATTACTTTTTACACAGAAAAGTTAAACTTATTCAAACATGAAGAATGCCGCGGTAAAAGCACTACAGTTTTAAAAAGGTTCTGAAATTACTTCATTTTTTATTCATAAAACTAAAGTGTTTAGCCATTGCTATACACCTTATTCAAAAGTAAAGCGTATTTTTAGCTTGTTCTCAAAAAGCGACAAAATGTGTTTTGTTAGTTAAATTTGATGACGAAATGATTTTTATATTGTAGAACTTATTATCTCCAGGAGTTTCTGCTTATATAAACACGCGTTAAACCCAACCATAACTCATAAGCCTATCAAAATACCTTTAAAATATGAACTGAATATAAAAATATATTATTTCATGTTATTCAATACTTTATGATCGAAATATTATTTAATGATAATCATCGAAAAGTCATACATCTGTTGAGTTCAGGATGAAATTGAGAAAAGCATGATTTTATTAATCACTAAAGTGTTGTTGGAAGATACAACAGTTTATCCTATGACCGGTTTAGTTTTCTGTTTTATATTTTAACCTTAACATAAGTATGCTTTTTTATATATCTCTATTTAATTTAAAATATTATTGAGATAGTCAAAATAATTATTTCGCTCAATACTTACCAGATAATAAACTCCAAAAGGCATAACGACAACGGCCACTAATAGGTCCGCGACCGCTAAACTAACTATGAAGTAATTCGTTGCTGTTTGTAAACTCCTCTCTCTTGCTACACTCAATATAACTAACACATTCCCAAATAACGTCAATAAAGGAAACACTATTAGTGATAGAGCCCATGGATTATACTGCACTTCACTGCACTCATTTAAAGTCAAATTTGAAAATGTCTCATTTAATGTCCTATCGATGTCATATATAAATTCACTAAACGAGTCTTCTTTGGAATAGTTGAGAAAGTCATTCGTTCTGTTAATCAATTCAAAGTCCGGTGGTCTTAGAGTGAATGCAGTTATTTTTGTTATGTTGTAACACTGACTGCATGTAGGTTCCATTTTAAATCGTCGTCATGATTTTGCTTTCATTGTATTTTATTTGTGTCCTCTTGATCGATTGATGTTTGTTTCTTGTAGAACATTGTAAGTTATGATTAGCAAATATTAGTGTTTCGTTGATGTTGAATTGCATCTTCTAACCTGCAACAATAGATTATGTTATTTTTTATGAATTTAAAAAGATTTTACTAAAGAAATACAATGTAAAAAAATCACACTATTGTCTGTAATCTTTTCACTTTTGAATTTGTTCTTTTTTCAAATAGGTAGTAGTTTCAATAGGTATAGTTTGGTATAATATAATTTTTTAACATTTTGACATAAATATACAATTAAAAATCTACAATTAAAAAGGGCATGTACCGACTGTCCATAAATATTTTTTTTCACTTATATTTTACATCAAACTTTTGTAACTGTAACTTGAAATTTTTGCATCTTAAATACTTCAATATATTACGTTTTTAACATTCGTTGTAGGGCATGGTATGCGTTTATTTTACTTAGACATTTCATTTCGTAGTCAGCAAACCCGGAATTCTTATTAGGATTATTATGTCGTCCCCTGTCTTTCTGTCAAGACCCTTATTCAAAGTAACCCATGGACGTGTTTACGTGGATGAAATAAACAATTCTTGACTCTTGAAACAGTGTAAATAATACAACCTTATGTTTATATTTATAAAACAAAGTAATAATTGTGACTGTGTTACATACGCGAAACATCTGGAAAATTTAACACGAAGCATCTGGAAAAGTGACTTAACTTACTCTTTAAAACACCTGGCCATGTGTACAAAAAGACTCCTGATACCAGATAAGTAATGGAATGTCATTGCTATTATAACACTAGGACAGTCATTTAGTCTAAGGTACAGGTTTTAAGTTTTAAATAATATAAAATTTTCATTATAATATACATTTAAAGAAGTTTGGTAGTTTACCTGGAACCTCTTGTGGCCGGGAAACACTCCATATATGTACATACGAGTATAACTGCTGCTGTAGATGTATGGGAAAAACTGTTTTACATCGACAGAAGATTATAATTTAAAAAATTATATCTTTGCTTTAAAGAATTACCTAGTACTTTTATTAACTCTCTAAAAATTTATTACTTTAATTAAACGGCTATTACGTGCCTCCTTACAAAACCTAAAGATTAGTAATCAAATATCCATTCCTTAGGTTTATTGTTATAATAATGATTTAAAACTGATTCACGATCATGTATGACTAAATTTTAATTCTTAAAGAAATATCATTGTATTATATAAAAAAAATCATTTATTTCAAGATTTAATGTAGATAAAATTTAAGTCGTATTTGGATTTTACTTGTGTTTTTTGATTCCTTTAAACGTATAATAATTAATTAACATAACCAGATATGATGATTTGAGTATTTGTTTAAATAGTATCATATACAGTGAAAATCTGAAATGATATTTATTCATGCAAAATTTTTAACAAAGATAATTAAAAAAAATACCAATTATAGAAAACCTATATTCAAAATAATATTATCAATAGAAAGTCAGATATTTTAGTACGTGTAACATTACTAAATAATATTTAGAATAAAATAAAATATCATACCTTTGTGTTTCTTGTTGTGTATTTGTACTTAGAAGTAAAATCAAATGGAATATTCGATAAATATCATGGGAAATAACTAGACTACATTGAAAAGGACCGTCTTGTTGAGATCTTGAGTTGAATTAAATGAAGAGCTAGCGGGTCGGTAATAGACAAAATTGCTACAGTCGTGTTGAAAATTACTTATTATAGTTCTAAAAAAAATTTCTAATACTCCTATATTTACTATGATATAAAATAATACCTTTTAGGGCTACTTTTAATAACCTTAGAATAAAAAGGAACAAGACAGGTATTTCACGCAAATTTACTTGTATCTTTTGATCTTATAAAGTAGTTAAATAATAAGTTAATTAAACAAATATTATTGATTGATTCTCGATGACAATTGTCCCTTCTGACCTCATTATTTAAATGAACACTTCTATATTCATTGTCTATTTCTGTCATTCAAGCGATGTGAGAAGCGAATGAAAGAATCATACATACATAGTTGCACATATACTTTATGTTTCAAATATGTAATGAACAATCTGTAATGGATATATGACAGCTATACGTATATACACTGTAATGTATGTTCACAACTAAATAATTATATATATAAAATATGCCAACCGTGAAAGATATACAATGAGACTTACATCTAAAAAGATTCGTATAAAATTACGAAACAGGGAAAAACATTTTATTTCCAAGAGATATGTATATAGTTTAACTTATATTTAATAGAACAATCATTTTGGAAAAATAAAATATTTAGACTACTAACAAATTCTATTATATAAAACGATATTAACAATAATCATACCTTCGGAAAATATTTACTTTATCTTACAACAGCCATTCATAGTAATTTCGTTAACCAAAATTACTTCATTCTCAATTTACAAAATAATGAACACACAACAAAATCGATGGTGAAGTTTAAATCCCTGTTTTTAATTATTTTTTTATCAAAATACTCAAAATGCGTCACCATGCTTATATTAATATATTATTTTATGTTCAGAAGAGGGGAAAAATAATAATCACTGGGAATTATAATTGTTACAAAGATCTTTCAACCTGCTAAATTATCAAAAGTACGCTTGTATGCCTAGAATCAAACCAAATTTAATTTAACTAAATTGAATATAAAGTTACATTTGCGACCTTCGAGTGTTTTTGATAAGTTTTCCTCACTCTAAGTGGTAACAAATAACAGAAAGTAAAAAATTCACCTGAAACTAGTCTAAATGCAACGAAGTACTCGAGTCACATATCATTACAACAGTGTAGAGGTGTCAAGTTGGACAGTCTGCACAATCACAGAGTGTGGTGTTGGAAACTTGACTCAGCTAAGTTTTTGACAGTAAGATTTTATCTGAGCTTGATCTTAACTTAAAAATATTTTTGCGGAGTTTCATGTGGATTTAAATAACTTTATACATATTTAAATAAATCTTGTTTATAAACTACATATAATCCTATAGGATTACTTCGGCTATTTTTTTATTCTAAATTTTATGCAAAGTTTCAAATACTTCGTTTATCTTTTCATTCTTACTAACCTATTATATTCTACTATATTTATCTGTTGAATTAATCATAATTTTCTCATTTCAATATTTTTATAAAACAAAAAACAAATAAAAAATTATCTTGTCATAGTTTGAATAAAAATAGTCAATCGAAGTTACATATTTTAGGATCATTGTGTTATTACGATTAAATATAGTTCTTAATATTATATCCAAGCTTGTGTTTTGATCTTTTAGTACACTTATTTATAATAAAATATATTCGATGAATATATCATAGATTTGTCATAATGCTGATGCCATAATTTGATGCCAGCTTTAAAAAATAATAGAATATGAACTTATTTTCATGGTACTGAATTTTTATTACGATTAAGTTAAGATATTTCTTTAATTTTCTATTTCTTTAAAGTGAGTTGTTTCATTTGAAGAATGTTAATACTTTACTTATATGTAAGATAAGATATAAGATTCCTCAATAATAATAATTGAATTCAAATTAACTAAAATTAGTTTTATGTTTGGTATTTTCAATATACCTTTACAATAAACAATATTAAGCAGACACGAACAAATTATTATTATACATACTTATTTAATGTTAAATTTGTTTCAAATTTTTAAATAAATGGTTGTGTTGTCCAATCGTAAATAATAAGTTGTAGTAATAAAGTCCTAAGGAATTCACAATTTAAGTTGTAGACTGTAGAAGCCTAGAAGTATCAATTTAAAATCTAACAAAAGGTTTTATTGCTCTATAAAATTTATTTATTGTTAGAATTTGGCATCATACAAGACTTGTGTCGTCTACTTGTATGAGATCTTAGTGTCCTAATTAGTTCTCATATTTTAAGGTAAAATTTGTTTCTTATTGATGTACAATATTTTATATATTATGTATATACATCGTATGTTATTGAAGCAATCTCTGAAAGTCATATTTACAATAGTAACGGATACGATATCAACAAACACCACGACCGTATCGAGGGTAAATATCTTATATGAGGTAGTATTTGCAATGGAAAAGTTTGTTTATAAAATTGGTGGTCGGAGATGGTGAAATTAAAAACGGAAAAATCGATGTTCGTTGAGTAGATTTCCTAATAAATACAGTACGTGCTATATAAAACCAAGACAGATGTTAATTTCTATGTAATATTCGTATAGCATTTTTTCATACATGTATAATTTAATATAATCAGTTATATTTTTACAAAGTTGCAATATATAGTTATATTATGAGTATATTGCAGTTTGTCATGATCGATTGAATTGTCGGCACTTCATATGACTGAAAGGTGAATATAAACAAAAAGGTATGAGTAAATATGTATACAAAAATATGAAGATTTATTTTCCCGAATGTTTTTAAATAGTATTCTCTAAATCGAGTTCATAACATCTTTGATTTCATATTAAAATTATTTAATTTCTTTATAAAGTTTATATTTTGAGAGTATTATTAAGGAAGGAAGTGCTATTTAATGTCTTTGATAATACAAAAGTCAGCTTTTTAAGACGAAATTTTTACAAAAACTACCTTAAAGATACGATCACTATGAAATGAATATATCATTTTAGAACATAAGCTTTAGAACCCACAGTTAGACTTAATATTAAAGATTATATATCTTAAATAAATATCTCTTACAATGTGTACATTAATCAGAGTAAAACTTATTAATTAGTTTGAGACAAGTAATATTGGATTTCGGATTAATTCGTTATTAAATATTCAATCGAAGTTCTTAGAAAACCGTGCTTGTTGAATATAATAAAGTAATTTAATTATAAATCTCACAATGTTACATTAACAGATGATTCACAAATGTTTTTTCATCAAAAGTAAATTATTACATTTTCAGAAGTTAGTAAT